CATTCATTCACACAAACCAACAGTCAATACATAGAAATGTTGTCCAAAGTTAGCGATCGTATTGTCGGACACCAGATGTCACTCAATGCATGTAAACATTGAATTGCTGTGAGTTTTGGCGAAAAACCCGACACTATTTGGCACTCAATTAACCACTCATTTGATGGACACGTGATTTAAAGGCCAATCACATCACCACTGAATCTCCCGATAGTGTCCACAATGTGTCCCATTATATGAACAAACTTTTCATAGACTATATCCCCAACTAATACTCAACTCATCGGTTAACTGGAGCTTAAGATCTTTGAATTAACCACTATTTCATTGCCGAAGACATGGCTGAATCGTTTGCCGCGAATCAACTCAACGCCCAATCGGTGGTCACGTCGGACACGAATCCATCCATATTTGAAGTGTTGGCTCAACAGAGTCTGGCCACTGGTCTCCGAAGAGCCGCCGATTATCTCACGAAAGTAAGCCATTCCTCAGGACATCACCTAATGATTGATAATCTGTTTGCCATCTATTGATATATTATCTTTTTACCACAGATTTTATACACAAATAATAGCCAGAAGTTTGAGTTTTTGTACGACAACTTCGATGAGATATATCTCTTGTTTGACATTTGTGTCCAGTTTTGTCACTTAAAGGCATTCAACGCCTCATTCTCTGAGCACTTCTACAGTCTTAAGCGAGTCTCAGATAATCAGACAAATCGTGGCCTAAATCGGCGACAATTTGTCAGTTCGTTAGTCCTATTGACAGCCTTTCCATACATTAAGTCTAAGTTTGACTCATTGTATGCGAGACTGAAGTTAAGACAATTGGAGTCACAAACGACGGACCAATCCGTGAGACAATTGTTTGTCAAAACATATCCAATGATTCGCACGTTTTGTCAATTAGTGAGCCTTTACTATGAGGTGAGCTATACTGTGGGCCGGAATCGCTATCATTCGCCACTTCTTCGGCTGTCAAACGTTAGACTCATTAACTTAGACGACGACGACTTGAAATCAATTAGTGATAAATCGGTGATAAGGGAGACAAACATGGATTGGTTCGCACACTTCGCGCGACTATCAATGGCCGGAACCAAGTGTTTGGCCAAAGGCTTCGCCGCCGGTCTGTCTGTCGGCGCCTTTTTTATACAGTTCCTCGACTACTGGTACAGCACCGACATGTATGCCCACAGTTTCGCACCCCTTCCCGTACCGCCACCTCCGCCCCAAGTAATCAAACTTTTTTCAAAATTTAAATTCAATTTGCAATTAATTTAATACAATTTATTAACGAATTGAACCATTTTTTTGTTTAAAACTCAAGATTGATGTCAATGTTCCGATAGACAAGTGTCCCATTTGTTTGAGAGTACGCCAAAACGATACGGCGCTCATGACAACCGGGTAATTGTTTTGATTTTATGTGAAAATTCTGGATTTATATTAATTTTGTTGCTTCCCGTGCCATAGGTTTGTGTTCTGCTACTCATGTATTGTGAATCACTTGCAAACTAACAGCCACTGCCCGATCACTGGCTACCCTTCCACTGTTGACCATCTCATTAAACTCTATCCACCAGACCAGTGACCACATGATCAGTATTTTATATAAATCGGTGATAAGGGAGACAAACATGGATTGGTTCGCACACTTCGCGCGACTATCAATGGCCGGAACCAAGTGTTTGGCCAAAGGCTTCGCCGCCGGTCTGTCTGTCGGCGCCTTTTTTATACAATTCCTCGACTACTGGTACAGCACCGACATGTATGCCCACAGTTTCGCACCCCTTCCCGTACCGCCACCTCCGCTCCAAGTAATCAAACTTTTTTCAAAATTTAAATTCAATTAATTTAATACAATTTATTAATGAATTGAACCATTTTTTTGTTTAAAACTCAAGATTGATATCAATGTTCCGATAGACAAGTGTCCCATTTGTCTGAGAGTACGCCAAAACGATACGGCGCTCATGACAACCGGGTAATTGTTTTGATTTTATGTGAAAATTGTGGATTTATATTAATTTTGTTGCCTCCCATGCCATAGGTTTGTGTTTTGCTACTCATGTATTGTGAATCACTTGCAAACTAACAGCCACTGCCCGATCACTGGCTACCCTTCCACTGTTGACCATCTCATTAAACTCTATCCACCAGACCAGTGACCACATGATCAGTATTTTAGTTATTAATAGTAATTATAAAGTTCTCGTTAAGGACATTCAAATTTATCCGGTTCTATTGTTTAGGTTTTAATAGTTTTTTTTAATTGATTTATAACTTGTTATACATTGTATTGAGTAATAAATTTCTATAAATATATATTTTTATGAATGAAATGACAAATTAAAAGCCTATGCGTTGGTGTCAAGTGTTAAATGAATGCATAGTTTTCGCTAAATTGTTACACGAATTGATTGGACAGACCTAACAATTATAGTAAGTTATGTGGTGTGAGCCCAACACTCTGGGAGACCTAACGGTGCGAACGCATGAGTGCTGAGAATCCAACAACTGTTTGACAGCAAAAGTTTTTTCTACTCTTTTTGTACACAAAACCTCTGAATTACACTCAAATAGTATAGCAGTTATTGAATACCGTATTTACAGTGCATTTATGTTTGCATTTGCATTAAAAATGAGTTAATTTTTTCTCATCGATTGTGTCGTGAAGTAAGTAATGATTATTTGATTCCCTATTATACTAATCATCAGATTTTGAATGTCTTAATCACTTGTCAAACAAAACTCTCCGTATATTAGATAAGACATTGTGTTTCCAGTTATTATCAAAAAGTTAACAAATTTCTTAACAAATCTCTGTTAAGAATCCGATATCCAGTTCCCCTCTCGAAAAGCTAACCGTGCGATCCATAGGTTTGTTTCGCTGCAGATCTTTAGAGCTATGGCACAAAAAATATGTTTCTGAGGTATAGGTTTCACTGATAGCCTAACAGTGCTTTCAACGATCTGTTTTCCCATACCTTTCCACTCCTCCAGTCACTCACTCGAAAAGTGTTCATAAACTCAATTCTTGGACAACACTTTGCGTACAAAAACTGATTTTTGCGTTAAAATTATGCTTAAAATTTCAGTCAAACATATCACTCAATAGGTTATATTCCTATGACTTAAGCAAATAAACTGATTATAAGCAAAAATACAGTGACCCTCCCTGTCCTCTCTCTCCCTTTCCCTTCGACTATACTCTACTCTAACTGTCACTCAGAATACAAGAGTTGTGTTGAATTGGATTCCGAGAACTGAATAATCCGTTCACTTATGGAGAAACGGCAACCCAATCAGCGCCTGTATCTCTCTCTCCCGACCACTCATTTGCTTTGCAATCAATTGATAAGCAATTTATGAGAATTTATTATTATCTGGCAGAAATTTCTGTGTGTTAATTAAACACTTAATTGATTTGTTATAGAATTCTCATTATATTTATGCAGCGATTAGTTAGAAATGATATCAGAAAACAATTCATAAGAAAGGGGTTAATGTTTAACTGGTATTTGATTTTTGAAATTCTTATCGCATTATTGTTATTCATGTATTAAATGCATGTTTGAATAGATAGCCGGGTTGTGGACAGGGAGTTCAATGCCTAATATAACAACTTATATATAAACAATAACAATATATATTAACAATATATCAACTTTTATAATCCATTTCTTCTATCCTATTCAATAACATCTTATATGCTATTCAATGATAGAGAGATTAATCAAACATTTTTACATATCCTTCATAATAGACATTAAAGTCTATTCACGGAAGGGATTACGGATTAAAAGTTTATCAAACTTTTGGTATAAGGGGTTAATGTTTAACTGGTATTTGATTTTTGAAATTCTTATCGCATTATTGTTATTCATGTATTAAATGCATGTTTGAATAGATAGCCGGGTTGTGGACAGGGAGTTCAATGCCTAATATAACATCAACTTTTATAATCCATTTCTTCTATGCTATTTAATAACATCTTATATGCTATTCAATGATAGAGAGATTAATCAAACATTTTTACATATCCTTCATAATAGACATTAAAGTCTATTCACGGAAGGGATTACGGATTAAAAGTTTATCAAACTTTTGGTAACACTTTATATTTATTTAAACCCAATATTTTCTAACATCTGTTTGTATGCTATAAATAATTATGATTTGATATTTGATTTCATTTCGTATGACTTAACGGCTATTATTGTTGTCGACAAGTCTCTCATACTTTACGAAACGATAAGAAAAGTTTTATAAATCACTTCAATATATCGTAAAAGTCATAAACAATTTTTCGTAAATATTTGGTAAGAGTTGTTGATTTGGACTGTAATTCAAGGTTAAGGACACAGAAATATGAGGGTTTTTATGCCAAATATGAGTGCAATTATTTGTCACACAATTTCATATTTGCTTTTAATATCCCAAAATGTTATACACGATATCTCTTATGGCATTCGCTTCACACGAGTTATACATAAGTATTATTTCCATAGAAAACACTATTGAGTGAACAGTGTATTTGTTTTGCATATCTAATGGCATTATCATACAATATAACTGCAAAAACAGGTCACTGGGAATCGCAATCTTAGGCCCACCACCAGATCATACCTCTCCATACCACCCGTCCGTTCGATTCTTGCATACATTTCTAGGCCTAATTGTCTGCCTCCCAGCCCCTCTCCTACCGTTCCAACGCATTGAAAACTTATGACTCTTAAACACATTTTCCTAATTATAATGCTATTGTCGTGTTGTCTGTAATCCACACAAATTTGCGGACAATTCTAATGAATGTCTCACCAAATGATCGGTGAAAGAGTGAGGCTTTTCGCGACAAATTGTGTTCAGAGGAAAGCCTTCACAGGAGAGGATAGGATAGGAAGGGTTCGATGGACTCGAGAATATTTATGGAATTCAGTGGAAAGTTGTGCCAACTCTGGAGAAATATGACACTTAAAGACAATACACGCACACAAAGAGGGACTTTGTTTTGGTTTTTAGCTAAACCAATGGTCAGAAAACAGTGACCAAACAAAATATACATGAGTTTAGAGTTTACGGAAATTGAGTGATAATTGAGAAATACCAGTGATTTTTAGCCATACATTCATAAAAAATCATATATTTCTATATCAATATTCAAAAGTAGTGGTAAATCTATAATCTAATTACAAAAACTTATTCCTCGAGTTGATTAACATTTAAATTCATACGAAAATTAGTGGAAATATAATACTAGAGACAGAGTTGTGAAGTGAATGACAATAGGAATACAGGAGTGGAAAGTAAATGCAATTTATCTCATAATAAGATTGTTTCACTGAATTCGTCGCTAATATTGTTTTAGAAAATTTATTCGTTGAGCCCCTTCTCAACGGCACAAAGGGTTAGGCCGTCCCCAATGTGCTCTGCCTTGACTCCCAACCTCTCTCTCTCTCTCTCTCTCTCTCGTGAAGTAGTGGTATGGAGTGGTACAGCAAAAACAGATTAGTCGTGGAATTTAATGGTAACCACTATTATAATAGCCGTCCGTCCGTTAAGATTATCTATTTCTGTGATCGCATATATTGAGAGTACATCTGAATCTAGTTTTATGCTCTCATTGATCGACAAATAATATACACAACAATTTAAGAGCACCACTAATATTATACAGAATATATTGGGGGAGAGAGGGAGGGGAGGGGAGAGAGACTAATGAAAAGTTTTATAAGCGTTTGAATTACGGGAGAGCAAAGGGTCTATAATTTTGAGCCCAAAAAAGGGTTATTGGGAGGGAAGGGGTGTTTAGACAAATAAGCGCTGATCGGAGATTAATGCAGAGATAAATGTCAATAAACTTTAGGATTTCAATAACTCTTTACACATTTGTGTCGTATGTTTATCATCGAAATGATGGCCTCTTCGCTCTCTCGCTTCCATACCTACCCTTCCGGTCACCACTAATACCATTTCAATGAGATTCAGATTATTATTATTATTATTATTCAAATAAAGCGTTAAGTGTTGGCATCAGTGGTGTTGAAGTGCTTAATAACACTTTGAACATAAGTTTCATGAGATATAGATATTTAGGAAATCAAAATCAAGAATTAGATAATTATTATTAAACATAAGAAACATATTGTAATGAAATGAAAGGCTTTTCGCATCAAATGAATACATCGGCAGAAAATTATAGGGAAAAGTACACGAGTTTTCGCTATTATTCCTGCAATGAAAGCAAAAGTTAAACACCAGTTCCTCTTTCTATTCAATTCTGACAATTTAATAGTCTATTAACCAAAAAGAGTGTACTATTCGGTGTAGGACAGGCACCGTATGAAAAGGTGTAGTGTCTCTACGGCTACTATTACCAGCGTTTGCAGCCCATGAGTGACAATAAAACTGTGATTTATTTGGTAATAGTAGCGACTATTGGGCGGATGAGTGCATATATAGCCCTGAAAAGTGCCCAAAATGTAAAAAGTATTGTGTTTTTCCAGTTGTTTATACTTTCGGTCGTAAATAGTTTTACTGCAAAAAGACTTGTAGAGAGAAAGTGCTTATAATTCATGACTGGAAGGAGAGAGTGGAAAGGGAGGGGAAGATTGGAGGAGAGCGAAAGTGCACCGGCATTAGGGGTTAAGCCACAAAAAATAACTACTAAAGTAACAGTTAGTCCCTTAACAATAGTTTTGCTGTAGTTTTTTATCGGTTTATTATAATATTACTGCATATTATATGTATTTAATGTAACATTTCGTGCGGTTTATGTGTTTGTGTTGTGACACAAATGATGATCGAAATCAAAAGTCCATTCAATTCATATCATATCCTATTTGTATTCAAATTCTTTGCTTTTAGAGAGAGAGAGAGAGAGAGGGAGGGAGAGAGAGCACATGCACTCTCACATAATATGCATATAATTCATTGCGTTTGAATAATATGTGACACATAAATACCACGCACAATATGAATACCCCGGGTATATGCCCCGACCTTTTGTCTCCGAGCAACCAATATTCACACCAGTGGGTCACGACAGGCCAATTGGTGCCAACCTATTGTCACCTGTAATTAATTATATACATTACACACTGCGAGTGGTATAACATTCACATAACATACAGTTATTATTATTAATAATAATTCTCAACATATTCTGTATAACATTCTGTGTTTCTATACATACTGTAAGTCACCGCTATTTTTAGTGCTAGTATTGAATGTGTGAAAAATAATGTATAAAAACACATAATATTTTATAACGAATATTATATTAATATATGACTTTCAGAGAGAGAGAGAGAGAGAGCCTTTTTATTGATGGGAACAGTATTTTTTTCTCTAAAACACTTTTCATTCATTGAAACATAAGTTTAATTTCCCGTTCAATACATTTTGCACCTTTCAATGGAAGAACATTTCATAATAAATAATAATTGCCTTTCTTTTAAGCCCTGGTATTGAGTAATAAGTTATGAATTAGTTATGAAATTATAAGTTTAAGAATAACTTTCTCTTTTGTGACAAACTATTAGATTATATACTCTTTTGTACTCATGTATTGAATCAAGATTTTTACGGTTTAGTCACTCGTTGTGTATTACATATAAAGCCCTATAATGTACTCATAAATAGCGAGTTATGGCAACAAATTTATAGTCATTTCCATTGTCTGACATAACAATCAATCATAAAATTTTATAATATTTTTCAGCTATAAATGTTGTGAAACCTATTTTTTTATTCAATCTCAACGCATGAGATCGCAAACAAATAAATCTACAAATTAATCTTATACAGTAACCAAGGTAGCTGCCAAACTTTTTATAAGTTAGCAAACAATTTTTTACAAAGTGTTCAAAAAGTTTCAAAAATGTTTTCAAATACAGAAACAGTTTCTGAAAATAGAGTAGTGTTTCACTGGTTATTGAAATGATTAGCGAGAATAGGGTTTATTGCCCTCTGTCTCAGTAGTGGTCAGTACATAATCAGCCGGTGCTCTAGAAAATAGATGTGATAATTGAGTAAAATGTAAACATATGGGCACATCCGCGACTCATACAGACACACACAGGGAAAGGGAGTCTAAAAAATGTGACAAAGATTTGCGATTGAAGTTTGTGTGGCGACAAGAAATCCATATCTCAGTCATAACTACATAAACCTTATGTATAGCGAGAAATATAGGCATCAAATCTGTGGTCAAAAAACTCTCGGAAATGCATGAATAAAAACTTTGACTAAACATATAGTGAAGGGAGAAATACTCGCAATGAGAATGAAATATAAATTGAATGAAAGGGTTAGCAAAGGGTTATGAATGTGTTGGCTCAGAGAGACGGCAGCTGACGTGGGGAACGGTATGTCGAGAGGGGGAACGGGTGGTCAGTGAATGGGTTGTGCGCTCATAACAAAAAGCTGATGCCATTCTCCATAACTCATAATAGTTGTCAAAAATAGTGTTCAAACGAGTTTTGCAGCAAAAAATAGTCTCCTTTTTTGTTGTAAGACTTATTGCGGACTTCCTTTTCGGACACAAAACAACACAACAAACGAAACCCTTTTTCTTCTCAACCATTGCCTCCTCTCTGAACCTAAAGCTGAGGATCACTGGAAATATGTGTGCAATAAGTGAGGGGAGAGTTAGCGCTGTGAAGGACAGGCATCTTAGAGGGGACGGGAAGGTCTCAAAAGACATAACCTCATGGATGACCCCTTTCTTCATATCCTCGTCTTAAGGGGTAACTGACCAGCAGTTGCACAGCAGAGCGCTCTGCCACTCATTTCCATACCAGTGCTCTCTCTCTCTCTCTCTCTCTCTCTCTCTAACTCTCTCTCTCTCTCTTCCTATATATACTTATATTACTTATATTTATCTATTGATTGGCAGCGACTGGTGGTCAGTGTAATGCCAGTGCAGTCTTACCAGTACTACCAGTGCTGCTAAAGATAGAAAGCAGTTGCGAGGCTGTTGTCGAAGAGCTCCATAGGCTGTGCGTCACTCCTGTTTAGGGCTCCGGTAAGGACGTGACGCCCAAATGCATATAGGATTTGGATATTCACATCACAGCCCTCTGTGCTCCCTGTGCTCTCTCCAGTTCCCTCTCATACACACTGACTGACCACTGCTTATATGCCTTCCAAACATGAGATAACTCTAATACAAAAGCCAACGCATACTATATATAACCCTTTTATAACCCTTTGCTCTCAAGTGGTGCTGAAGGGAAGGGAAGGGAAGTGCAGGAGAGAGAGAGTGGTGGGGATAGGCAGTGGTGGTCGTCAACTAGTGGACAGGCTGTTGTTGTTGTGTATACGATGGTTGGGGCCGCCAGTCTGACTGCAAACAACTCTTACACCGCTATAAGACTTATGCGAACAAAATGCAAAAATGTTTACCTAAAGTGTGTGTTAGGCCATACATGCCATGCGGGGGTCGGCACAGGCTATCGGCCACAGAGCGAAGGGGTTAACACTCTCTCCTGTTTGCAGTATTTTAATTGCAATGACCATCGCTCGCAGCCAAAGCCATAGCTATAGCACCAGTACTTGTTGGCCATCACTACTAAAAATAGAAAAACTTCTGCACTGGTAGTCCACACACCGACTGTTAGGTCCCTCCGTATTGATTGAATTGTGTGTAGAAAACAACAAAAGGCTGTGCAATGCATGCAATACTAACTGACCATTGAATGTATGGCAAAAATATGAATATAATGAATATAATCGGAAATAAACGTTTGGATACTTTTTTTGGTAACAATTTTTCTCATTCAAAACACAAGTCATATGTTTTTCGCTGCCACTGACCGTCACATCAGTGGTCAGTAGCAGTGAAAAGGCCAGTCGCACACGACATATGCGATCACCATAACTACTGTATAACTAAATATAACTAAATCTATGCATGAATTGATAATTTGAAACTTTTTTATACTTTTTTTTGGGGATACAAAGAGTACTGAGAAATCAATTGTGAAACTGTGAGCGAGTGGTCACATATGCACTGATATTACAAATCAATTCATATATCGATATTCAATCAATGAATTGAAATCCAATCGGAAGTAAACGTATCTTTTTTTGGGGTCCTATCTATCAACTCATTCAATGGTAACGACTATTCAATCAGAAAACGAGTAAAACTTTTGTCAGCAAAAAGCGAAAGTCATTTGAAGGGAAAACTCATTTCAATATTTCAATTCACATAATAATGTCATTTATTAGAGACCTATAACTTTACTAAACTATTAGATTGGGTTTATACAAAGTTTGCAGCATAAAACTGTATCATAATACCGGTCAATGTATGAGCAATGTGCTTGAGTATGGTACAGTATATAATTTTTTCAACATATCAGTTATCAAAATCAGTTATCATTGCACATACAGTACAGTAATCTCATAATAATTTTGATCATAAGTTCATAATTGCTAATCCAAGCCATCGTCTCAAACATTGTCTGGTATTATAGCCCATAATAAGCGCACACTTGTAGTGTGTGTTATAATCAGTGTTTGTGAGCATTAATTGCATCCAAATCTCGCAATAGTGTGCAACGCATTGGTGCCTAAAGTATGTATGCATTTCGCCATAAATCATAACCTTTGCTCTCAAACAACAGGACTAATGAATTTTTGGGCCCAAAAATATGCCACAATAGCCCTGAGCTTTTGCATAGCGCCTACCCTTCCATACCCTCCCCGTGCAGGTGACGCATATAGGACTCAATACTCACATCACAGCCCTTTCAGTACTACCAGTGCCTGCGACTGACCAATGCTTGTGTGAGATAACCCTAAACGCACACAACATATAACCCTTTATAACAACCCTTTGCTCTCTCGAGTGTGTGGACAGTGGTGTTGTGGGCCCGTCAGTAGTCGATAGCACACAAGCATACAGTGTGTTCACCAGCACTATAGCCATACCATAGCGAGGCATCAATCGGTTAAGCCATAGCATACCAGTGCCCTAACAGTGCGAGAGAGCATACAGTTTGCTGAAAGCTTACAGTACTTGCAGTACTTTGCCATCGCTTTCTTCATCAACTTTTTTGTTCACATCTTTTTCTGTCTCATCCATACGCTCGACAGCACAGGTAGCCCATCGGCTCGTCGACTACACCTCCATAGAGGGACAGACACCATGATCTCAGACCACAGTGTGAACCAATACTCGCCGGCGTCCGAAGAGTCCTACGACCAGCCGCTGGACTTCTCCAAGTCTTCGCGCGTACCCTCACAGCCATTGGTCACCAGTATTCACGTGAAACAGGAGGTCCACATAAACCGCAACCGCGGCTCAAGTGGTGGTCCTAAGCGTCGACACTCCGAGACGGACGATGAGGACGACACGGCCGGTGCGCACCAGTCGGTGGCCAACTGTTTCACAACACCTTCGCCATCACCACCCGAGCACAACCCCAACGCCAGTAGTCATCACTCGACGCAAGTGTTGTGTCAACTCCTTCAGGGAAGTCTGATCCCGACCTCAACGGGCAAACTCGTGCCCAACACCAGCGCCAACAACAAGAGTGGTCTCAATGCGCTGGCACTTCAGCACCAGTTGCTCACAGCATCCCATTCCCAGCGTTACAATGGCGGCCAAAGTCAGACATCTCCGCTGTTGTCGCCATCGCCGCCACCGGCGCCTCAGAGGGCGTCCACTCAGTCGTCATCGGCGGCGATGATGCGGGCGCTCAACGATCGCCACAACAACTCGTCGCGCAGTCCATCCGGAAGTGAGTCGCCTATAGGTTTGGGTCCATTAAATCAGATGGAAATGCATTTCTCGAGCCATCACTCGCCCACCACTCCGTCCGGTGTCGACCGGTTCGGTACGTCCGGCGGTCTACTGACCACCGCCTCCAACGCTGCCTCCCTTTATGCCAACAACGACTCCGCCAAACGCCATATGAAGTACAACCGGCCGTTCAAAGCCTACCCGCGCGACCCCCTCTCAGTCTCTATGAATCCAGTGATGGGTTTCTACGGAGGGCTACCCCTTACCGCCGACACTATAGCCACGCAGTCGCTGTTGGCCACTGCCTCAGACCAGGCGTACCTCCAGTTCCGCGAGCAGATGCTCGTGTCGCGGAAGGGTCAGCAGGAGTCGCAACTTCAACAACAACAACAATACAGTCAGGACAATAGCCGGCGCTCGTCGTCCAGCAATGGACAGCACCCGTCGTCGCTCTCGAAGACCAACAGTACGCACATGAATACCAGCGCCACGTCGATGGTATCACCCGATCAGCGGTTGAGCACCAAAACCAACGGCAATAATAACGGCACTCATAGCCCGACCGACAAGAAGTTGAAACCAATCAACGGAACGCCAATTAGCGCGACGTCCGCCGCCACACCCATACCCACATCGACACCACTGATCACCACAACCTCCTCGGCCTCCATCATGACGCCGATGGCTCACCACATGTCCTCAGCGGACGACACGTCACAGAACGGCCACTCCAGCGGCAACTCGTCCTCCGGGGAGGCGGACATGGGATCGTCGGGCGGGTCGGCCAACCGCAAGAGGGGGCGCCCCCTCCCGGAAGACCTCAAGGACGACGCGTATTGGGAGAGGAGGCGCAAGAACAACGAGGCGGCCAAGAGGTCGAGGGACGCCCGTCGGGCTAAGGAGGACGAGATAGCGATTAGGGCGGCTTTCCTCGAGCAGGAGAACCTGAAGCTCCGCTGCGAAATCGCACAGTTGAAGACCGAGACCACGAGACTCCGGTGCCTCATGGCTGTCAATCCCGACCCCCCCTACAGTCTTAACGTATAGGTGTAGGTGTGAGAGAGGGTTAGGAGTGTTGTGAGAGAGAGAGAGTGAGTGATAGAGAGCTTCACCCGAGAGCTTATTATAGAGATATAGAGACCGAGAGTATACTCGTCGGTGTATTTGAGAGATATATTGAGCGCCCATTCAATTGAAAGCATATTATTTTGGTCACAATTTCTTTGCCCCCGATTTTCGTTCATCCGATTGATAATTATAATACATATAAAAAGCTATAATATTTTGATTAAACAAACTGCTGTTTTTGAGTTAAATATAATAAATATAATAAAATATTTTGACAATTTGTAAAAC